TATATAGAACACATTTCCATGAAAAAAGTTCAAAGTAATTAACATTGCAGGGTCAACATTTTGGCAACTGGACTAATTAGGGGCCGAGTTAGAGAGCGGAAGGGAAATATGATCAAGGTCAAGGTAAAGGTCAAATAAAGGTCGCAGTGACCTGGTTTTGGTACTCTGCACACCTTCTCCCCAAGATGTGTAAGTATACCAAGTTTGGTCTTGCTAGGTCAATTAGGGGTCGAGTTATAGAGCAGAAGGGAAATTCTCTGCGGCGGACCGAGCGGCGGCGGCTGGGGAGACATGAAACCATAATATACCCCCGCCGACTTCGTCGCGGGGGATACAATAATAATAATAATAATAATAATAATAATAATAGCAGCAGCAGTGACAGCAGCAACGAGAACAAAAGCAATGACAAGAACAATGGCAACAACAGCAGCAGCAGCAGCAACAACAACAACAATAGCATTATTGAAATCCATCTATCAAACCTTATTGAATCTCTCATGTGGCACCAATGACAGAATTATTGGTTCCATTGTCGTCACATTCCCAAAGCGTACTTCAGGTATATATAAGGCGCAGACAACGTGAGCCCACCCTCCGTTGTCCGTTCGCTTTAAAGCACCTTCCTTAGAAGGACAGAGTTCACACTTCTGAAAAATTATAATATCATTCATTAAAATAATTATATATTAATATATATATATTTAAAAAAAATATTAATAATTATATATCATTATTATTTCTATTTTTTATTACTTATTATTAATTACTTTTAATTATTATGGATTTATTTATTATATTCTTATTTATAACAGTAACAGGCAGCTGATAATGATAGAAAATTTTAAAGGCTGGGAAACCCTTTTTGTGATTGCAATACAGCAGTCCCAATAAAGAGATCACATCAAAGTAATGGAGTAATGGAGTAATGGAGTTGGATATATGTTCTATGACAAACACGAATATCTAAGAAAATTGTGTGCAAATGCATGTTGAAAGCAGGAGAGGGTGTTGTTATCATATTGGCAACATCCCCAGACAAACTTATATGGATTTAATTAATCACCTGGCAATTGTAATTGCTCAATATGAACAACATTCATGAACAATATGAACAAGAATGTAGATACAAGTATTAGATATGAATGTAGAATTATGATTAGATTGATAGATTTTTTTAGTTTTGATTTGAATAGATAGTATAAATACACACACATGAACGCACGCACGCACGCATACACATAAGCACACAACTTAGATTAGAAAAAAATGTATTCTTATATATTTTAGTTTTGTTCTGTGAACCATTCATTTCATAGTAAACGATGCTATGGGACGTTTTGGAAGCTGGTTTAGTGGGACACAGAAATGGACTGTGCCAATGTGAAGAACTACAAAGCAGTGGATGAAGAAATTTCCTAGACCACGACTGGACTTATATAATTTCATATCGCATACAAGATGCACTTCTCCTGTTTAAGCGCTCTTTTATAACCCATAACAGCATAAATTCTCAGTGCTATTAAAGCTGGTGTAATAAACCTGTTTATAGCTCAGACTATATTTCACTATAGATATTTCATGTTGGCTGAATTATAGCTTTTTGACAAGCCATGAATACTAGTAAGTTTATGAATTTTTCCCTGTATCCTCTGCCATGCAAATATTGTTCATGAATACGCGTTTAATGATACATAGCACTATGAAAAAAATCAGCATGCTAGGGAGAAAACTTGAAAACAGAGTTTTGTTAACCAAACACTTTACAAGTAATAAGATGGCAATTGAGACTCTCCATAACTTAGATTCACTAATGCCTTGAACCAGGAGAACTCATGAATCGTGGTGAAACCACCAAAATGCAGATATGGTAAAAAAAATATTTAAAAAACTACAAACTATAATACTACTATTCTTACTAATACTAATTTACATACATGCATTCCATGTTGTTATTTCGCCTATAATGTGCTCTGCCTACTAGTAATAATTTCTTTAAATAATAATTACTTTATTTTCAGAATGTTACATAAACAGTTTGTAAGTACATACCTATACACATACACTGGTACATAGACAGTCTTGTGAACATTAGTCTTGCTATTAGGGATCATATAATAACAATATACACGCACATAGATAGATATAAGCAGAATAGACTTATTTGGACAAAGTACAACAGTTGTGTAAGTGATACTGTATACAATGGAGTAGAGATGACCATTTACCAAGAAACTTTGTCATATTGTTATTTGTCTGAGCAATATATTTTTCAGTACACATACAATATTTAATGTTGGCTTTCACTGCAGCAATTAAAGGTTGGTCTACAATTCTTAAGCTTACATTTGTAAATTGTAAACTTTGCAATCTGAATACATAAATTGACAATAATGTCTACATCATCCATTCCGAGGATAATATCTGTTTTGGAAAACTAATAGAATTGTGTAAAACCATTTTTGCCCAACCAGGAGTGTAGTTCAAGCCAGACATCAGTTACATATTCGCATTCCACAAACAGATGACCAAATTAGGTGTTTCACTATTTACAAAAGGAACACAAATCAACATCAACAATCTTAACGATGAACAAAAAACGATTCGTTGTGAGTATTCTGTGAAGGACTCTGTATTGAAAGTGTCTAAGATTAGTGCCGATAGAAGTCTGGAAAGGCAAGCTGTAGAAATATTTCCAGTCATCACTATTCAGCATGTTTAATTCCTTACACCATTTTTCTTGACTACCAACATTTGTGATATTTAGATTTTTATTGAATAGGTTGTAAAATTGTTTACAGCCTTTTGATGCACTATATACAGAATAGACTGCAGACGATATTGATGGACCGATGTTGAAAAGAGTGGAATTGTTTGTAATTTGCTCCAACCAATCCTGTGGAATTGCTTTGTGCAACCTTATTACATCGATAAAGGTGGCTTTTATATTATATTTTGCCTTTAAGTTTAATTGACCTAATGGCATGAGATCACCGTTATCATCAGAGATTTTTAACAAATATTATACCTATTCTGTGCCAGGATTCTATATAGCCTAGCTTGATATGCTTGTTGAACCAAATTGGTTCCTTTAGAATTTCTTCACTATTTAGTGGCTTGAGAATGCCATTATATTCTGACCAGAGTGAGACCATTTCAACATCCTTCCCAAATGGATTTTTGATAGAATTTATTGTTTCTATTTGGTTGGCACCTGTTTCAAAGAAAGAGTCAGGCATTTTGTTTTTAAAGAAAAGTGTCCATTTATCTGATTTTGTTAAATACCTTTTAATCCATGATATCTTTAGACCCTTGATATAACTTTTTAAGTCTATCATTTTTAGACCACCTTCACAGTACTCCTTTTTTAATATGCTTTTTTTTACTTTGCCTCAGGGTCTTCTAACTCTTTTATTAAAGTTGGGTCCAAATCTGGGAGTACAGTAAGCAAATGAGCAACAATAGGAAGTGCTAGAGATTTAATAATAGTGATTTTACCCAAAGGGGTCAGGTTTCTGGATTTCCAGATATTTAGCAATTTTTTGATTTGAGGAGTTAAGTTTTGGTATTAAGTTTTCCGTGATCATTTTATGTTGATCTGTATTAAAAGAAACACCTAGAGCTGCAAACCTGCCATCCACAATCCACTCTGGACAGTTTTCCCTACAAAAGTGCCTATCCGGCCAGAGTCCTTCATTGAACCAATCCACAATATTTTCGTTTTTTCTTTATTCATTTTTAAACCAGATAGTTTATAAAACCATTCCATGATGTTATATGCTTCAGTCATAGATTGTTCACTTCCGTCCAGGAACAAGTAGGTATCATCAGCATATAGAGAAATTTTATATTCTTCGCCCCATAAGTCTATACCTTTAAGTTGGGTATTTTGTCTAACTGCTGAAGCTAACATTTCAGCCCAGAGAATAAATATATATGGGGATATTGGATCACCCTGTCTACAACCTCTTTCTAGATTAAATCTTGTAGAAAAATTACCATTGGAGATAACACTAGATTCTGAAGCATTTTGAAACAATTTGATCCATTTTCTGATTGATTCACCAAATTTAAAAATATCTAAAACTTTTTGAATGAAATCCCAAGATACAGTATCAAAAGCTTTTTCAAAATCAATCATCATAATCATTCCCGGATTACTTTGAGCTTTTGTTTCAAAAATAATGTCATATATTACTCGGGTATACTCCCCTATGAAACGCCCTGATATAAAGCCTTTTTGGTCTTCATGTATCAAGTTGGGTAGATGTTTTTTAATCCATTCTGCTATACAGGAAGCTGCAAATTTGTAGGATGTGTTAAGGAGGGTGATGGGTCTCCAGTTTTTTAAATAACACCTTGGTTTGCCAGTTTTGGGGAGGCAAGTTATTATTCCTTGTCTTTGGGATATAGACAATTGGTCCATTGAGTAGCCATAATTGATAGAACGGAGTAAAAAGTGACCCAGGTCGATCCAGAAAAACTTGAAAAATTCATTTGTGTAACCGTCATTTCCTGGACTTTTATTATTTTTACTTTTTTTAAGACAGCTAATAGTTCATAATAAGTAATTGGGCCTTCACACCTCCTAGATTCTTTCTCAGATATTATACATTGTTTAATTTATTTATATCCATGTACTTCGAGATGTTTTCTTCACTACAATTTACCATTTTAGGTAAGTAGAGGTTTTTATAGAAAGCCATTTGCTCTTTTAGTATTTCCTTTTGGTCGACAACTGTTTTACCATCATCCCTTTTAAGTTCTTGCATATTTTTATTTACAAAGTTTTTATTTTCTAGATTACAGAAGTAATTAGACGATTTTTCTCCTAGCTCAGTCCATCTGGCCCTCGATCTTATGATCATACCATTGATCTTTTGTTTACGGAGAATTTCAAGATCATTATTTAATACTTCCAGTTTTCTAACATTTTCTAAAAAAGTATTCGGGTTTTCTTTTATGTTGTTTTCTATATCTTGTATTTCTTTGTTTAGGTGTAATTCAACTTCTGTTGCCTTTTGCTTTTTCCTGGAAGCAAAATTTATAATTTTCCCCCCTGAGGGTGACCAGTAAGGTTTCCCAAAATAATTGATCATTTATTTTAAAATGTATTTCACTGTTAGGGCAATTCAAAGCATTATCTTTATTATATATGGGCAGCTGCATATTGGTTTTTAGTATCCAGTATTGATTCCTTAATCATTTTAACAAAATCTACATCACTCAATAAAGAATTATTAAATTTCCAATAGCCATGGCCTTTTTTGTGTTTGGATATTAATATATCAATAGCAACAGGGGAATGATCTGATTTATACTTTGTTAAAATTTCAGAATTTGAGATAACTGACATAACATCTTCAGATACTAAAATAAAGTCTTTAAGCGGGACATTTTTATTGGAGTTTTATGGTGCCAGGTGTATTGCCGTTACGATTCATGAAAACTTCTCCACACATCCACAAGTTCCATTTCGTTAGCCATTGCTAAGACTTTTTCTCTAGCATTAGGATTGTTGATATTTTTATAATTATAAGTATCTATCGAGAGATCCAGAACAAGGTTCCAATCTCCACATTTATTACGCTATTTATTTTAGTGTGCAGGTCAGTATAAAAATATGGGTCATCATTGTTTGGTCCATAGATATTAACGAGAGTGAGTCTCAGAAAGTTTGTTATTGTCAAGTCTGCAATAATGTAATTACCTTCGGGGTCCTCAGCAACTTCATTGATAATGTATTCAAAATTATTGTTAAAGAGGACCGCTACACCCCTAGAGTTTGAGCTGTATGTTGTCATTTCGACTCTAAGGCCCCACTCTGTCTTAATTTTATGTTTTAGTTTAGCATCAAAGTGTGTGTCCTGTAAGCACGCTATACCGACATGTTCTTCTTTTAATTCGTTAAAGATGTCAATTCTCTTAAAGCGATCCCCTAGACCCCTAGTATTCATAGAGGTTAACTTTATATGTTCACCCATTGTTAGATAAGAACAATTCATAGTATATGAAAAACCGTTGTATGTCAATGTCATGGTTATCTAACTGGTAATTACCTGCAGAAGTGTATGAGTGTATGCTATATATATAATGGACATAGTGCACAAACTTAGTGTGTTTACATTTACAAGCCTGGAAATAAAGTAGAAGACATACAAGCACAACTACGTATACAGAACACAAACAATAAATAGGACACACAGACATAGAGGTATGTGAGCCAACCTCAAAACCAATTGATTGTAGTCGAAGAAGAGTTACAGTATTACATAGAGGTTAAACTCCCATACCGTACAGTGCAAACACATAAACACTTTCCGTTCTGCCCGCCATTCAGGTGGTAAGACTAACCCCACCAGCTCCCAAAAGTAGATTGTTCTCATATTAATTAATGAGTAAAAATTAAAACATATTTACCTGTATTTACCCCACCGCCCTATTACTATACGTTTTTTTTTAATGTTTACGGGCGTTCATTTACATTATACATTCGACTGTATATCGAAGTAAATTTACTACGCGTTACATTAGTGGTTTAAATGAAACAAGTGCCGCGGAGCGACAGCGCTCATCTAACGTCTACTGCGGTGACTCTGTGGTGGAGTGGTGGGATTCTAGTAAACCCTGTTAGTCCCAAATGTGTTCACATACCACGCCGAAACGTGGAATGCACAGGGATGGTATCAGGAACCTTCTCAAAGGAATGTTTGTTGGATCGTTATGAAAGTTGCCACGAAATGCGCGCGTACGTTTAGTGTTCTTCAGATTAAAGATGGACAGCTCCCATCGTACATAGTAGCAACAACTATTTGCAAGACAGAATAGGTAAGCACTCATCCATTTACCTACGCAAGCCTACAGGCTGCAATAGAGAGCTGCCACCTGCAACTAATTAACGCAGGCAAAAACTACACAGCCACCACCACATGCACTGCAGTGGCCACTGGCAGTGGCATACGTTACATGTAAAATACTGACAGTACAGAATGCCATAGAAATTATAGGATTTAAGGAGCATAAACCTTCTTCAACCAATTTAGCTTTTGAATTCACTGTGACATTGTAGCCTCGTACATCAGGCATGATAGATTCTACTAGCAAACCCGGCAGTCAAATCTTCTAACAGACAGTAAACAAATCCATGTTTAACCCTCCTCTTGAGGGTCAAAAGGTTATCCAACACACTTACTCTTCGATGTCAGCAGAAGGGACATTCATGGTCCTTTCAATAAAGCCATAAAAATGCTAGGTCACCGCTGAAACAAAAAAGTTTTTCAATCGCTCCGTCAGACCATGTCCTCAGAAATGTCTAAATCTGCCCTGTGCCCTTTACCTTTGACCTGTGACCTCCATTTCGGCACAGTGATGGCTTTTTCCTACCATGATGCTATACACCGACTATCACGAGCCTAGGTCGACCGCTTCGATTTGTGCCGGCAATTCTGCATTTCCTCCCATGCCTTAAGTAAGGAGTGAATGTTCCCCCTTCTTTTACACCTCTTGACCTTTGACCTTTGACCCCCAGCTTCGACATCCCAACTCGTTTTGACGATCCCCCCCGATGTGCCGAATATCGTGACCGTACGTCGAGCGGTTAAGATTTGTGCCCAACTGTTGACGGACGCACGCACGGACGGACGGACGGACGATCGTGCGATTCTACAAGCTGCATCTGACTATGTCAGATGAGCTAAAAATAATCATTAATGTGAATAAACCTGATTTGAAGCAAGAATACTTCGAGGGCAGAGTTATTCTTCTTTAGAATCATTTCTTCCATGGCTCTGTGCTACTTTTCCTGGTCTCGATCCACAGATCAATTCCTCGCTCGACAACCCTGGCCTGCAGCTTCTCGTCTCTTCGAATTTCAAAGGCTGCGTGAGCAAGTTGACCCCGTTTCTGCTTTAACTCCGGTGGTAGGTCCGAGCAAATCCTCTTTTTGGTTCCTGCTAGATTTTTCCCGGCTCTAAAGAAGGATACTCTGTCCGCCCAGAATAAAAATACGACTATTATTGGAGTTTGTCCGTTATCTCATCTTCGCAGATGGTGCGCATTTCGGATTGCTACTTTTTTTACGTATTCTTCGCTCAATCCAAGATTTTCTAAGTACTGCAAATTTTCTGACCTTTTCGATCGTGTCTGATGTTCTCATTTCATGTCCCTCTAACCCGTAGATTAAGAGGTTATATTTCCTGCTATGACACTGAGAATGCAAGAGCGATTGCCGCAATGTTTAGACTTTTTCGCAATATTTCGAATCTCCACTCGGTCCTCTGTTTGGGCGTTTTTGACCGCTTCCACCTCGACTTCTAATTTTTAAAACTTGTTTGACAGTTCTGTAATCTTTTGCGTAACTTCAGCAAACCCATCTTCCATTTGGTTGTTCACACTGGTTTGCAATCCGACAATTAATTGTCTCAGTTCCGTGTTCGTGACCTCGTCGCTGTCAGGGGCCATTGTTGTTGTTGACATTTTCGAGGTTCCGTGTTGGTCGTCCATAATAATTTCTGGATTCTGTTGTCGTAGCTGATTTTGACGTGTTAGATAGCGATGAATAGTGTCTTTTAACACTGCCTGCCTCTTAGGCCTTCCTCTTGGCATAGTACGACCTCAATTTGTTACCTTACATTTATCTTTTGATGAAAAAAAGCGAGAGCCGGTGTAGACCGCATCCTACTACGTTGCCGCCATTACCGGAACCCTGACTAACTAGTAAACTACTAGTAATAATTGATTGTACATGAAAAAAGTTCTTAAAGCTAACAGTACATACATAAAAGCACCAAACAAGTACAAACCACTCTCGCAGCACGTTCTTGTGATTCACACTTTCTGCAAAACCAAGGCCCAGTCGGCACCGTCACTATTCCATAACAAGCTGAAAAAGTGTTATCATCTTATTAGTAGACGGTCATATGACTACGTATTATAAAATAAACATCAACTCAAGCATACATGCTTAGAAAATTCTTAAAATCAACATAGCATAAAGAAACAACTTTCATGAAAAGTGCATTGCCATTAACGTTGGTATAATTATCCAGATTAAATGAGAAAGCCTTCAATTATATGCTATTAAATTTTTACATTTCTGCACCAGCACATTGTTCTTGTACTGGTAAATTTTTATTAGCCCTCAATAAAAATTTACTAGTCTTCACGAATTTTGTCTGTTGTTAGAAGAGCAACGGAACTAAATTAGTCTCACAAATAAATTAGTCTCACAAATAAAGTTCCTTTATTTCAGTGAGTTATGACTGAAACTATGGACTGGACTGAAATGATGGGTCATGAGCGATACTATTACAGCGCGATATGGCAAGTAAGTATCTGCCGTTTACCAGCAGTTACGCGAGCATGAATAATAATTGGGTTATCGGCTGTCTGCTAAGGAACAGCTGATCACTTTTAGTTAGTTGAAAGCAAGATGGGCATTGTGATATCTCTTCTGACAAAGTTTTGAACATTTGGTGTAAGAATATTTATATTTAAGACAGAAGGTGATAAGATGTATTTAAGAAGCTGATAATGCATAGAAAGTGTTTTATGATGTAGGTAAGATGTTAATAAAGCGATATGTGCAAGTATTTCTTAGAACTATCTATGTAACTGGGTCAGATACACAGGCACTTAGAACATTTCAATATTTTAAAAAATAATGGGAAAAAATATTAAATGTATGCACTACCAATGTTTCTCTACTCTCTTTCTCCTATTGTTAGTAAGAACTTCCTGTAATTGCCATTCAAATGCGCGTCTGCAGCACATAATTTCACCACACGCATGCCACTGTCCATAAACAGAAATATAGAACAGGTGGGAAAGCGTGCGTGCCAAATTCGCACAACTTTCGCTTTGTTTCACACCGTCACATCACAAATTCACAAACAACTGCCTCCATTCTGTTATCTATGCGTAGCCGAATGTTCACTTGTTTTAATGATTACCCTTCCATTTGGTACAACTTAACTTACCAAAGATATCTGGTAAATTCCTGAGGAAAACTCCTACTCTACGGCAACGTAAATAAGAGCCACTGTAATTGTATGTGTGACGTCATTCCTGCGCGAATCATGCTAGCTTGGGTTGGCGGTGCTCATAACAGAGCACTTGAACCCAGAATGCAATGCGGCCTATGCCGCGTGTATAAACAAACAGTTGCTCTCATTTACACTGCTGTAAAGTGGGTGTTTTCCTTGGAGATTTACTAAGTTTCTCTGGGTAAACTATCATACTATGTTCTATTCAGGTGCAAGGGCGATAATTCGAACAAGTGAACATTTGGCTAAGCATAGATACCAAAATAGAGGCGATTGGTTATGTATTTTTGCTGTGATAGTGTGAAACGAAGCGAGCATTGTCTGAATTTGGCGCTCACGATTTTCCCACCTGCTCTATATATTTTTTTGTGCACAGCGGAGTGCGTGTGGTGAGACTTGGTGTTGCAAAAAAGCGTTTGAACAGCATTTACATGTGGAATTATTAGTCAATATATACAATACATAAACATTGACTTTTGTAGTGACTCAGGGTTCTCCCTACGTTGCACAAACGGGGCGCGCGACTCCCCCCTGTTTGAATCGTTGCGCCCCGTTTAAATTACCTCCGCCCCGTTTAAATTACCTCCGCCCCGTTTAAATTCCACCACAATAAAAGTTTGCCAGCGCAGGAATCGATCGTCAAGAATTGCCGTTCGACCAGGACATCCGACACGTGTATTTTTACCGTACCACGCATGCACTGCAGACAGTACACAAGTTAACCTGACAATGCACAGTTAACCTGTCACTAACTGTACACCGACTCGGCTATCTTATATATATACAAGAACCCCAAATACCGTCTATGGTGTGGTGGCGATTTTACGCATTAATTAGTCGTACGGTAAAAATACACGCCCCCCGGACTCCCCTAGTTTCCCCCTCCCCCCTCCCCCTCCCCCTACCCCTCCCCTCCCCCTTGTTTGAATTTCATCCTGGGGAGAACCCTGTGACTATATGTTGTGTTTATTTACCATCATTTTATTATTGAAACTTTCCAAGTGCATGTAATTGTAAATTGTAAACCATTATTTTGTATTAATCTGATAATCACTGACCAGTGCCAGTGGCGCTGATAGGGTCTATGTCCCCCAGGGTACTGCCGGAACGTACCTTGGGTACAGTCCGCAGGGCTGCCAACATTGGGTGATAGGTGAGAGTGAGATGCGAGGGAGCAAAGCGACCAGGGGGGGAGGGGGCCCACGGTAGGGAGCTTTTGCATTTTATAACTTCAATTTGTGCAATTTGGTGCATACTAAAGTGACTGTTTTCAGATATTGTAAGATTTTTTTTGCTGTGCCGCGTGCGTGAGATATTTCAGCGTTTTATTCATAAAGAGATATTCATGCGTGAGATATCTCAGCACCTATCGCCCTATCACCCTATCACTCAGCGCCAGTGGCAGTGGCAGTGACACAGTGAAAGTTCTTGCACAAAAAATCACCACTTTGTCAATGGAAGCCTATTGGACCCTAGATTAGCGCAAGAGAATAAAAATTTCCAGGGCACAATTTATCGATCTAGTCTCTACTCTAGAACTAAAATAATGTATAGTTATAAGTTTTAAATTAAACCTACCTTGGTGAACAGCCACATTGCACCCATGACCATCACAGTAGACAAGGGGGTTCTCCGCCCAACCCCGTTCATCCGAGCAAACACAGCAGCCACCAACCATTTCCTTCATATCTGCTGCATCCTGCAGGTATGATGTTTGTCCATATTAACCCAATTTTCACATGTTTTTAAGGTTAATTGTGTAAGTTTTCAAATACTTGTAAACCCCCACTCAACACATCGAAGGTCACTGCGCATGCTCAGTTAAAGCAATGAAGGCATTTTAGGATTTCCGATTTCCAAATCCAATACTTTGTTGATTTCAGGGGTCTCCGCCAGGGTTTAAAACGAGAACCTTCTAAAGAACGAAATGACTCGAAATGACATCAGAAGAAACGAAATTAGTAAATTTATCGAAACCTGTAGAAATTTATATTATTATAATAGAGATACCATTCGCGATATGTATAAACTATATATTATAAATTGATGATATAGTGGCCGAAATGCATCTGGATCGATGGTACTGCAGTAGAAATGGGGGGGGGGGGTATATATGACGGCGTTCGTTCGGGTCGTGCTTGTATTGCGCGCATGTGCGCTTGCGCGCGCGCGTGTGTGTGTGTGCATGTGTGTCACTGTGTGTGTGCACGCGCGCGTCCAAGCGATTGATCCGAATGTAGAGGCCTACATGGCCTGAGTTCAGTATTAACTAAGTTAAATGTATTTGTATCAATTTATTTTTGTTATGACTTATGTATGTATAATCTGTTCTCTACGGTGGCCCACAGGGACAAAACGCTAGACTGGTACCCGTCCCTTCTCACACCCCCCCGCTCGATATATATATCCTCTTCCTATATCGAGCGGGTGGTGTGAGAAGGGACGGGTACCAGTCTAGACAAAACGCAAGCACAATTACAAATATGTTGGCAAACATATAGAATTCGAGACGAAGCAAATAAATTTCAAGACAAACACATGCTGCAATTTCATTTGAACACAACACATGTTCGCAAGTAAACAAGTACAATAATCGAAGCAAATACATGTTTTCTAAACGGAAATAGGTGGCAGCACGGTACCTTTTGTTTTGACGCGACGCCAACAATCTCACTGATCTCTATAATATAATCTATTATAGATTATATTATAGAGATCAGTGCAACAATCTATGCAACAACTCGCTCTTGTATTCAAAGATCGTAGAGTGCCGTAGGCACAAGATAAACCACTCTCCAATCATAGCGTAGTAGGTCATGGGTCGCCACAACCGCCATTTTAGGAAGCAAGTTCACACGAAGTTCCCAGATGCTGCTGTATCTGCTACTGTGCAACTGTCTGCTGTGTGCTGTCAGCTCAGCTTACTGTTCTGCTGTAAATTGCTCGAATTGTCGAAGAAGTCCAGAAATCCATCGTGAAAGAGTTGTGCAATCTTTGTTGATACATGTAGTACCAGTGGCAGTGTTGTTTGTGCACAGGGCGTACGTGCGGTGTACACTCTAGGATCTTTGGTTCGCACTATGCGTATGTGGTTCGCAGTGTCACTCTTAGTAGTCTTACTATTAGT